ATAGCCCACTTCATAGTGGCACATGTTGTTGGACCTAAAGAGGAAAAAAACACCACCACACTAGCAGGTTATTAACAGGAACTCAAATATGTAACCACATTACTATACTGTGACTTCCCGAGGCTTAACACACACACACACACACAAAGCTGGAATACAATAGAAAGATGAATCTTTGGTATGACAGTGTTTGAAAAGATTTAGTCTTTTGTCTTCCTTATAGCTCGAAACGGAGACGTTAAATCGTACAGGTAGACCAGCAGGTTTGCCTGGGCGTTGGTTTCTCCCCACAGAGCGGAGCAAACCTTCCCAACCCCCACCCACCTGAACTAGCTAGTGTTACATCAAAAACATCTTTTTGGTCCAACTCTGGCGGCTAATTACATTATTTTAACAAATAAAACAAGCAAAACTACATCTCATAGAAAGATAATGTATCTGTTTTAAATAAAGCTGGTTCAAACTTTAAAAATGTTTGTTTTTGCGAAAACTTCCATCAAATCTACGTCAAAATGAACTGTGCGATTTTTCAGCCGGATACAATTTTATATCAAATTTAAACTACTTACACTGAGCCGAGGCTCCGACCGCGAGAGCGGCGAGAACAGCAAAAATCCACATTTTCATGATCAAACGTAAAGAAAAGAAGTCTTCGTTTGTCCGCTTCCTATGCGTCCGTCTCCCGCAGAGGTCAAAGACCGAGTGAAGAATGCCCTCGACGCGCCCAACAAGGCTCCTTTTCTCGGCGCAGGTGTGTCCCGGTCAAACCTGTTTTAGAGAGGAACTAAAGCGCGCGCACTCACAGGTGAGACGAGGAACCGAACGAGCGCGAGCACACGCTTAAAAGTTGAATTCAAATTCAAAGCAGAGCTTATCCTGGATTATATTCCGTTTGGTAGTTGTTGCCCACCTGACGGAGGAAGGACCTGAGCAGTAAAATTTATAAGAGAATTACTCTCATGACGTCAGGCTAATTTGCATAGGCGGCGCAGTGCGGGGTGGGGAGGGGGCGGGGGAAACGCACCTATATCCGGTTTGACCATATTTGCCCTCTCTGTCTCTGTTGAGATATTTTCATTTTCAAATCATAAATAAATTTAACGTTTACCCTTGTGACGTCATCATCTTGTTATATTTATCAAAAAAATTATCTGAAACTGGTTTAAAATTTGGTTGAATTCATCTTTAAATACCTTTAAATGCCTATGTAACCATCGGCTTTTAGTGTTTTGGGTTCACTAACACAGAAAGGAGTCCGTTAGGAACTGCAAGGAACTGGTTATTAAGGTGTTTTCCCCTCTTTTCCCCTGTTTCCCGTGTTGATAATTTCCTGACGTGCTTGTTGAGTTTCGTGTAAAACATGTAGAAAAAGGCAAACTCTCCTAGGCTATAGAAGCCATGTCACGTGGTGTTGATTCATATCATAAACGTTACTTTTAAACAAATAAAAGCGTTTTTTACTATAATTATTATTCTCAACGTATTTTATTGTAAGACTGCCATCATAATATTCCTGCAACATTTTGTGGCAGATAACTAGAAATCCCATGTTGCTACACTGAAACTACCTAATGGTGTAGTTTCACTTTAAAATACATACGTGTTGTTCATGCAGATGTTTTTCCTTGTTATGAATTGTGAAACACCGCGATGCGATGACATCATCAGCAGGTATCTAACAGAAACCGGAGAGGGAGAAAATATTTCTCAGGTGTTGTGAGTCACATTCTCACGGATGAGTCACAGCCTCGGGTCTCTGTCTGAGAGATACTCTCA